TGAGCCCTTGCTCATGTTACTCTATGGTCTGCATGGGTGCCCGCTTCCCTTCTCTCTGTCCACCAAACATTCCACGGTCCTGCCCAAAGGCCTTACCTGACCCCTGGCTACACCTAAGACCTATTTCCGACCGCCCTCTACCCGTGTCTGAGCCACACGGCAGAACTACTGAACTTTACGTCACTCTTCGGATGTTTGGGTTTTAACCGCCTCCCGGAAAAGACTGTGAACCTCAGTTTCCCTACCTGACCCCCAACCATGAGGAGGTCGGACCAGGTGATTTCTAAGCACCGCACTTCAATGCATTTCTGAGTCCATATTCTGCACACGTGACATGGGGAGTTCAGAGAGTGGGGAGCAAGGAATGTTTGTTGAATGACTCATCACTATACATGTGACTTTCTCTGGTGGCTTCTCACTTTTTCCCCTTGTGCTGCCTTGGATTTGTTCTATTGAACTGATGGAGGGATGCTCGCCCTCCCTTACTAGAGGGGGCTCCCAATCACCAGAGGTCACTCCCATGGAAGCTGTGAGAAGCTCGGGGAGCTCGGGCAGGAGGAGCAAGCTCGCAGCAGGAACACCACGTGCCGGGCCCCTGTCCAAGCACACAGGGGCCACGTGGGGCCGATAACCTGCACGCCTTGGGGTTTCCAGGGGAAACAGTGTGGACAGCTGATAGCATGCTTGGGCTCACAGAGACAAACCACGGCAGAGGCGAGGGGTTGACAGGGAGGCCCCTGCTTCTAGCTCTGCAGTAAATTAAACTTCAAACTGGCTCTGGCAGCAGCAGGTGCCTCCAGGTGTTTGGATGATAAGGGGGTGGGCCCTCCGTTAAGCTCCAATTCGGCAGCCGCGGGAGACACGCTGATCTATGGAACAGAGAGGGGGCAAGGCCTGCGGGATCCTCCCTGCACAAGAAAGTCTGAGGTGGAGATAAGATACAGACGCAGGGGAAGGAAAGGGCCAGGCGGGAGGGGGATGACCTCATGGGTCTGGTTCATCCCTCTTATTTCAGATCGGTGGGACTGCATGGAGGGAGTCAGACATCAAGAAGCCTGCGGCGATGGTGAAGGGGCAGGGAGGTGGAGGGAACCCGACTTGGGTTTGAGGAAGCCCTATAGGTGACCCTCGCTTTACATAAACCCACTATATGAACATCTAAGTGAACCAGATACAGCAGGAAGTGATTTTGTACTTGTAACTTTCCAGTGTCCAGGATTGTTATTAATGATGCCCCCGGCTGGTACTTCCCACCTCCCAGCCTCATTTTGAATCATCAGATGAGGAGGTGGAACTCGGGACGCCGGCATCTTCAGTTTCTTTACACTTTGCAATCTTGGATTCTTGAAATAGTCATTGTTCCCCTCGACTGATACTCCCACCCTGAACATGATTCATGAAAGCGCAATTTGTACAGAGCTTTTAGAAACTCACATATTGCTGCAAGTAGGTACTACTGTCCATTGTTGGAATGTTACTGCCCCAACTTAGAGCAGAGCCTCAGCTCCCCCACAACCAAAAACGTCACTGCTAGGGTCTCTTTCGCCCCCTGGGAGCAGAGTGCCTGGCCAGGGGTGACAGGTGTGAGGTTGGGGGCACTGTTCAGGGCCCCAGACTGACTCAGATAGTTTCAAGTTAATAATGCAAATTAGCCCTGGACTCCTAGCCTGGGGAAAACACAGCCCGTGATACTGAGCCGCAGCTGGCTTTGGGTGGCCCACAGCAACTTCCAAAGGGTCAACATTGTCAGAGGCATCAAGCCCAGAAAACTGGAAAGAGAAAGGGAATGTCCAGTTACTATGGATGCCCCGGGAGGTGTGCTGACATTAAGATGGGCCCCTTGGGAGGAGCTGAGAGGTAGATGGTGTTGCTGTGTATGGATGGCTGAACTTTGAACAAAGGAGAGAGGCAGATGATGGTAGTTGGGGAAGGAAGCCTGCTCAGAGGAGGGGGTGAGAGCCAACAGCGAGGTCCACAGCAGCCGCTTACTGAATGCCAGTTACACGCCCGAAGCTAGGCGCTGCACCGCCACTGTCCCGTGCTGCACTCCGAATGACCCCAGCAGGTGATATCACCATCACCCTCATTTTACCAATGCAGAAACTATAGTGCAAAAGGGTCAGCATCCTGTCCACAGTCACATAGCTAGTAAATAGTAGAGCCAGGATTTAAAGCTGGCCAGTCTGATTCTAAAACCCATGTTCTTGCTCTTTATAACACAGAGGCCCCAAAGTAGGCTTCACAGAGCTATAGCCCCTCCTTGATCTGGGGACCCTGTCTCCCTCTTATCTCCTTCCCCCAACACTGTCAGTGAAATCCAGTCCCTGTCTGGCTGTAGCCCACAGCACTAACCCACCACCCATTCTCTCCCTTACTTTCGGAGGGAAATAGCTGGGCTGGAACCTTCCTATGAAATATCTGGGTGGTATTTAAAATCCATTGTGGGGGAACAGCTCTGGCTTCAGATGAAAGGCCTTTGGGGTAGAAAGATCTAGAAGCCCTGTTTCTAACAAATGCTAATCATGCCTCAAACACACTGAAATGTAAAAGCTGAACCAAGGGTTACTAGCTAATAAAATACTTGGTGCCTAAAAGAAGGGCATGAAAAAGATGCCCCAAAGATCTCTAACGTGGAATAAAAATATGTTTCTTTTATTCCCCTGATTCATCTGGCTTAATATTTTAGAAGTATTGACTTTAAGAAGCCAGGCTGCACGGGTCATGGGGAGAGGAAATTTACATGTGCTAATGACCCCCATCCACAACGCGCAATCTGTGCTCTCCCTTCCACCAGGGAAACCCTGAAGAACCAAAGGGAAGGCAGGGGGGGTTGGCTTTTGGAAGAATGCTCTACAGCGCTATCTAGGAATCTGGACCCTTGTCAGAGACCTGTCCGCCTAGACAAGGAACCACTACAGACCGGACTAGGAGATTCACAAGACGTTGTCACTGGTATTTCTGATTTCATTCGGAAGATGGCAGGGAAACTGGAATCTTACTTTCGTCGGAATGTTACTGCCCCAACTTAGAGCAGAGCCTCAGCTCCCCACAACCAAGAACGTCATGTGCTAGAATTTCATCTATCGGCCAGCGAGGGATTTCTAGCTGCTCCTTGCTGAATCCCCACTGCCTAGAACAGAATACAGCTGGTGCTCACTACATATGTGTTGCCTGGCCGACCGAATAAGTAAGTGGTTATTTCAGGCACCTGTGTCTTCCCTCCATTCCCGCATCGGGAGGAATCCGTGTCCACGGATCCCGCTGGTCCCACCAGTCCTGTTCTGTAGGGCATGAACCCACCCTTGGTCCCTACGCCTGGACGCTCTCTCCACGGGTAGTTATTAGGTCCATCTGGCCAACACTTGTGACTGGTAAGACTGGCCACAGCAAGATGAGCTGGACCCATCAGATCCTCTACCTTGGAAATTCAAACCAAGAGACGCTGAGCGAAGCTATCTCCGACGTACACACTGAGGAGAGAGTGTGAGCCACCTGATGGCAGGGACTGGTGTCTACCTCGTTCTCTGCACTGTTTCCAATGCAGGCTATTCTGTATCACACCTGAAAGAGACTAAATGCCCAATAAAAGTTGCCCGAATAGAGAAAGAGTAAATTGGGCCTGTGTGGCCCCCTATGGGACAGGTGCATGATGAATGAGCCAGGGAAATCGATAAGCCAGGGAGCGAAGAGCACAGCTTCAATGCTCTAAGAGCCTTAAAGGCAACAGAGACAGAGCTGCTGTCTTCCTCCCTTCCGGCTCTCTCTGGATCCACAGGACACCCCACCTACTGCACCTGGGCCGGTGGGATGTGTCTCTTCTCTTGCGCTACCAACGGCCCAGATCAGAGTACTGCTGAGCCCCACCTCCCCCAGAAGACCAGCTGTCTCAATATATACCTGAGCAAGTTGTTCTTTTGTTTTTGTCTGTTTTTTGCCACTGAGTGTAACCGAAGGTTGAAATGGGTGACAAAGGGAGGAGATGAGGTGAAGTCTTAGGGAAGAGACATTATCGCTTCTCCGGGCTGAGGGGCTCGTCTCCTCTCCTTCCCTCTGCACGGGGGTTATTCATCACCAGCTCGGCTCCGAGCCACTGGCCCATTGACTGGGAAGCTCAGCCTGGAAAGTCGTAAAGGTAATACCAGCAACACACCAGAGAGTCCCAGGGAGGTCGTCGTGGCCTGGGCGTGGCCCTGCAGGGTGAGCTCATGACTGCAGGGCTCAGGAGTGGCTCAGCCCTTGACTCACTCTCTGGATGGGCAAGGTGCTCGTTGTCGCTGAGCCTTAGCTTCTCTTGTAAAGTGGGGACAAGGACACTTACCTCTCGTGTTGGCAGAATTAAAAGCTGTGCCCAGCATGTGGTAGGGGCTCCAGACACGGGACCCGAGTGCCCTATTGTGTATGTCTGTAAAGCACCGCAACTCACAGAGGATTTTGCTATATTTTACGTCCTTTAAATCCCACAACAACCTACAAGATTTGCAAAGTACAGCCTAGCATTCCCATTTTGCAGATGAAGAGACTGAGGTTAAACGGGGTACATAATTTGTCCAAGGTCACCCACAGAGCGGCCAGACTCCATCCCAAGTCCCACAACGCTGCCCTCAGCATAAACAAGCAAGATAGGCGATCAGATGTGCATTGACTAAGCAAACCTTGGGCTGGCTATCTCTCTCTTTTCTTAATCACATACAAGGTTTCATTCAAGGGTTTGTGTACGTGTGTGCGGTATGTCCAGGAGATGAATGAATCCATACATGAAGGAATGAATGAGTGGGGGAATGAATGAATGAAAGAGTGTCCTGTCTTAATTCTACTCCACACATACTTGACAACAAAACCTGGGGATCTCCTCCAGACTGAGCCCTACGGGGCCTGCTGGTGCATGTTTCTCTCCCGCTCTGGGGACTATCTAACCACAGGCCTGGTGATGGTGCAGCTCACACTATCAGCCCCTCCTGCCAGCAAGGAAAGCGGAGGGCAGTCCTGCTCATTCTACGTACTGGTTTCTGCAGTCTCGTACTCGCTGTCTCTGAGAAGCTCAAAGATGTCCACTTCGACCTTGGCCTTGCCCAGCCTCTCAGGAGCGCGGTTGATGCGGTTCTTGGCCAGGGTGATGGAGAGCCGCTCCCCTCTGCTGCACTCCATGGGGTCATCCAAGATAGCAGCTGTGGGCAGGCAACCACACGGAGACAGTTGGTACCCTCTCCCGTTACCCTGCCACCTTCCTCTGCCAGGCAGCTCCCCGCCTCCCCCGCCCCTGCCATCCTTGGAACTAGTCCCAAAGCAAGTTCTCTATGTGCTGAGGGTCTTGGTTCGTAGCCAAGTGCGGCCGTGAAGTAAATGTGCAAATCCACCTCAGGAGCCCCGTAATGTCACAACAGGCCGCCGGGGTCTATGTGTAGGAGGCCCCGAGGCCCAGATGTGGTGAAAAGCTTAGAGGTACACTGACACGCACACACAGGCACACGTGTGCAAAGGAAGCGACGCAGTGGCCATCCTTTGACAATGGTATTCTGGGTATCTGCAGAAATCCCTGAGATAAGAGAGGGTGAAAGAGACTGGGCATGAGAGGGAGAACCGTGGCAGATACTGCTGAACACCAGCTCTCCAGGCTCAGACGCTGATGCACCACGTCAGCCGGTGAGCCAGACAGTTTCACGGAACTTCTTTTCCTCACTGAACAGGAAGAGTAGGAAGATAACCTCAGGGGCTTGGTGTGAGGATTCAGTAAGATAATGTATGTAAGTGACATATCACACGAATTGAGTCGGTGTGACTTAATATGAAGGGTTGGCGTGGTATAGTTCCAAGAGCTGCCCAACTTCCAGAAGCAGCATTCAGGGTAAGTGTTCTAGTAGCCCACCCCCACCCTGTATCAGCTCTGAGACTTCAGTTTCCTCACTCGTAAAATGGGGAGAGAGCCCACTCCTTGGGCCATTGTAAAGATTACCTGAGTAGTCTGTGTGAGGTGCTTAGCACAGTACCTGAAACACTCAACAAATCTAGCTCTGGGTACCATTCACTCTCTTGGTAGAGGAAGTTACAAGATTGAAAATCTCTACCAAAAACTCATATATATATATATGCTCACAGCAGCATTATTCATAATAGCTCAAAAGTGGAAAAAATCCAAAGGCCCATCAACTGATGAGTGGATAAGCCAAATGTGGTATATCCATACAATGGAATAATAGTCAGCAATAAAAAAGAACGAAGTACTCACACAGGCCACAACACGGATGAACCTTGAAAACGCGATGCTAAGCGAAAGAAGCCAGACCCAAATACTGCACACAGGATGATTCCATTTATAAGAAATTTTCAGAACAGGTAAATCCACAGAGACAGAAAGTAGATGAGTGGTTGCCTAGTGGCAGTGATGGAAAAGCTGGAACGAATAGGGGGGTGACTGCTAATGCATACACGGTGTTTCTTTTGGGGGTGTTGAAAAATGTTTTAAAATTGATTATGGTGATTGATGCGCAACTCTGTGAATATACTAAAAACCACCGTGTTGTATACTTTAAATGGGTGAATTGTGTGATATACGAATTATGTTTTAATAAAGCTCTTACAGAAAAAGAAAAGAAGAAATATCAAGCTTATTTTTCAGAGTCGAAGGCTCGGAAAAGTGACATGGGGAATTGAGCCGAATAGGTTTCACCGACATGTGGCCCTTGAATCTCTGCGGTGGGCGTGGACAGAAGAGACCCAGGTCCCACGCTGTCTTTTCACTACACTGCTCCCATACCTACTGTGACCCATTTTCCAAACAGAAAACCGGGACCCAGAATATGACAAAGACTTTTTTTTTCCTGATTTGTGGATGTGTTTATATGCATTGCCTTGTTGAACAATAAAAATTAGCCGTGCCCAATAAAAATTACACCGGGCAACAGAGGCGCATCCCAAGGCCCAGCTGTTAAAGTGGGTTTCTGTGAGTTAGGTAGCAAAGTCCTCACACACCTGGTGGGATCACTGCTTGCAAGAGTGGCCAAAGGGCTATAAACGTGTGATTGAAGAGCCTGAGGACACCCAAAATACCTACCCAGCTGACCTCAGGAAAGCGAGACCAGGATGGGAATGCTACTCAGGAAGCAGAAACCTAAACGATTGTACTGTGCTGTCCCAGGAGGAAGAGTCTGGGAAGAGAAAGGAAGAAGGGCAGGCTATAGAAGTGATTCTCAAATGATGTTCCTTGGAGGGCCCTGGGCTCCATCAGGAAGCAGAGGGAGAGGCCACATGGGGGTCTCTAGCCCCTGCCAGCTTCAGCCGGCACACCTCCACACCTATCAGTTTGGGATACTGGGGTTCCACAGAAGACTTGATATGGGGTAAAAATGTTTCACTGTTAAAAATACAATAGAAATCATTAGTCCAGCCCTAAAGCATAGAAAAGAGACATCTGAAATGTTAGGAACTGGCACAGCCATTACACACAAATCATGAGAAAGAGGCACGGATCCCTGGCACATGAGTTTTATGTGAACAGGCACACATTTATCCAGTGACATTAGTGTAAATGCTTAGCGGACATGATCTCAACCTCTGCAACGACTCTGTGAGGTAAGTGTGTTCTTTCTGTTATCCTCACTCGGAGATGAGAAAACGCTCAGAGAGGTGAAGGAACCTGCTCACATTCACAGGGCTGGCGAGGGGGAGAGGTGGGAGGTGACGCAGGGCAGCCTCATGCAGACTCCGTACCCAGAACCAAGGCTCACCTTCCTTCTAGTAAATGTTGTCTTCGTTGGGATTTGCTGCTGAGAAGGGGGTGTCATAGACTGGATGGCTTATACAGCAAACATTTATTTCTCCCAGTTCTGGAGGTGGGGGGGGCCCTGAGATCAGGGTGCTACCAGAGTTGGGTTCTACGAGGGGCCTGCTTCCTGGTTTGCAGACACCTGCCCTCTCACATGGTCCTCAAAGGGTGGAGAGAAAGGGACAACATTCTCTGGACTCTTCTGATAAGGGCACTCATCCTATAGTGGAGTCCCCACCACCCTCATGACCTCATCTAAATGGAACGCATCCCCAAGGTCCCGCCTCCTAATACCATCCTAGTGGGGGGGGGTAGGATTTCAACACGTGAATTTTAGAAGGACACAGTTCCATCCATGACAGGGGGGCATATGAGCTTTGCAGCCACTGGAAAGAAAGAAAGTCCCACCAAGGCAAATCAACTCTGAAACACTAACAGGTAGGACCCTGGACCTCTGGACATTCATTCCCCTAGCTAATGCTCCCAACCCCCATGAGATTTCTAGACAAGGGGGCATTTTTCTCTTTGGACCATATGACCTTTAAATATTAGGAAATCACTTGCAATATAATAAGTAATAAAATAATCTCTCAGAAAACACCCACGTCCCCTGTAAATCTAGAAAGGAACTCAGCCCTCTGGGAGTGTGGGGAAGTTACTTCAGGAAGGTTTTGATAAGGTTGCTCAGGCTATAGACATGAACTTGCCTCTGTCCCATCAGTAGACAATTAGGGCACTAATCACACCTAAACCACAGGAGGTAACACACATCGATAGTCTGTTTCAGGGTTGTGTGCTCTCTTCTTGAACAGTATACATTCAGGACACGTGCCATGGACTGAATATGTCTCCCCCCCCCCCCCCCCCTTCACATATTGAAACCTTAACCCCCATGTGACTACATTTAGAGACAGCGCCTTGAAGAGGAAATTAAAGTGACATGAAGTCATAAGAGTAAGGAAGGCCTTGATCGGACAGGATGAGTGTCCTTCTAAGAGACACCGGAGAGGGCTCTCTCTTTCTCTCCTGCTACGTGAGGACACAGCAAGAAGGCAAGCCAGGAAGCAGGCTTTTCTCACCAGAAACCGACTCTGCTGGCACCTTGATCTTGGGCTTCCAGCGTCCAGAACTGGGAGAAATAAATGTCTGTTGTCGATGCGGTGTCTTGTTATGGCAGCCCGAGCCGACAGAAATAATGTGCCAACACAAACCCAGATGTACAGGACACCAGCCAGCCACGGGACACCACATAATCAACTCACAGAGCATCACTGGACATACTCTGAGACAGAGGGAGCATGACCAGGTGGGGAATAGGGAGTGTGGGGATTTTCTCTGAAGGGGCCTAGGAGGTCCCCTGAGTACCACCTCCTTCTCTGCCTTCTCTGCCCCAAAGAAGGGCTCTGCACTCCACCCAACCTCTGTGCTCAGGGTACTCTTCATTAGGTTTTGAGTTTTAGACAATGAATAACTCCTGTCTGGGAACAGCCTCAGCTGGGTGGTTGGTTGGCATCAAACATACTGGGATCAGAATAATCAGGATGGTAACAGGAACCCAGATTCTGGGGCTGGACACAAAGGATGAGGGGCCAGTTCAGGCCCTGCTAGGACACCAGAAGACCATGTTCCCAACAGGTGGTTACCAAGAGCACACTTGCTGTTTGGCAGTCCCCAGCGAGGGGCCCCGTGGGTGGAGAGCAGTGTGCTCAGGACTGAGTGCGCAGCTGAGGCTCCTGGCCCCTTGCTCTGTCCCCCAGGCCCGGTGATCACTCTTGGGCCAGGATGCTCAGAGTTCCCAGACGCTGCCTAACGAGGAGCAATATCATCTGGCACGTCCTCCATCCCTGGGACTGCTCTGCAGAGAAGTCAGCTAGTAGGCATGGTAAGGCTGGGAGGTCTGGGGCTACAGCGAAGACAAGGCTGAGATGGGGACATGTAATCAGGGAGCAGGGTCTTCCCCACATTTCCAGCCATGGAGACTCTGTGCACAGTGACCCTTACACCGCATGTACTCAACAGGCCTCTCTCGCGCCCGGGGAGCCAGTGAACCCTAACATTGACATTGGGCTTTCTCCCCACAGGCCAACAACTTTGCCCAGTTCTCTCTGAGTTCTAAGGCTCGTGCCAAGGAAAGGGCAGCCTCTTGACTCTGGGCCCACCTCTACCCCAAGGTCTTCTCTCCATGTTCTGGGCCCAGGCCTGTGTCTACTCTGGAGAGGACGCTGGGGCTGGCAGGCCTGGCTCTGCCCGCTCTAATCCTTTCTGGCACACGCAGTGAGTGTGGCCCCGATTATCACTCACCTGCTCAAAGTCCTCAGGCCTCCCCATTATCCTGGGGTTGGTCCCATTTGAGTGTCTAGGATGGCATCAGGCCCTCTGTAGTCTGGCTTCCAAATGCCTTTCTAG